AGTCTGTCAATATTTTACAACTGCCACTCCTAAAACAACATATACATGTATACATGTTCAGAGATTCAAATACAAGATGACACTACAAGCACACCAAAATGAAGGTACAACGCCGATTCCAAACATTACGGACCTCAAAATACAATATGGTTGGTTTGTCCTATTGCCAGACTGACCTCGTCATTGATTGTGACAACATACATATGCATGAATAATTTAAAATGTTTTTTGATAAACGATCATAAGCAACTCAGAACTCCAGATTTTGATATTGAGTTTATAATTCGCTTTTTAATCCGAAAATCATTATATTTTACTTTTTGTTCTATTTCTAGCAGTGTAATAAATACACAAGAATTAACATATCAATTGCATTAAAAGGATTTGCTTCACATGGTTTCTTCTGCAGAATCACTTATCCTTCTGTTATAACTGTGCCATTGTATAGGTTACTATACCTAATAACCAATGACAATCTGACCTTTCTGTAACATTACATACATGTATCTGTAGGGATATTTATTGGTGTTACTTCGTTTCTACCTGTTTGTGAAAAATGCATGAAAACATGTTTGTGGGATATTTGAGTTCACAATTTTGATACAACAATTAAATGTACATGAAAACATGGATCCCCTACATATTAGTTAGCAGGTATATATTTCACTGTGACATTAAAAAAAGTGTCACACTGATGTACTGGAATGGTTTTGAATATTTAATGAGACTCTCTAACCTAGAAGATATTATCATGGTTATATTCATGAAGCAATTCATAAAACATCAGAACATCACAACTTTTTAGTTGGAGCGATGATCACCAACAGGATCTTATCTCTTTTTTATCATTATTGGTATTGACACGTTTTTGAAAGGTTGTTCAAGGTATTGTTGTGACCGTATATATATAGTGACCGAGATGACTTTGTGGGCTGATCATCAGCAAGTCACGTACATCGATTTGCCCCATAGGGATGTGCAGCGGTGCATAACGACATCTGTGGTAGTTTACGCTGAGTCAAGCCGCTTTACGAATGTGTTTTACGTAATGTTGGTCTGGTCGTAGATTACACAAACCGTTGCAAGCATAGTCGTAGATTACACAAACCGTTGCAAGCATATTGATAGCACTTATACATATATTTTGCAGCCTTCTTACAACAATTTGATGTCAGGAGTAAACAATCTTTCATTTTATATCTCTAAGCATGGGGTTTGATAATATACTGAACTGTAGCTCTTTATAGCTATGTGTTGGTGTTGGAGCCTGGGGCATTGTTTCCGAGAGTACACACCCAGAAGGGTGTTTATATATTTGTGCAGTATTGGAGAAAATATTCTTATATGTTTCGATAGCGGAGGGTTGTTAAAACATGGCATGAAATATTAATGCAACAAGCTTCGATGATAATGCTTGATGGACAAATTAAGGAAGGGGAAGATGAGCTTGCTATGATACAAACTCGGATAGATTCTCTTCTTCAAAATTAATTAAAATGATCCTTAAATTTATTTAAGAATAGACTAGATAAATGCTTGAAAAATCAGGAAATATTATATAACTTTAGAGGACTGATTGAAACCGGACTTCAGTGTGATACAACAATCAAGTCCAGTGGAGAGGACCTATAGAGGTCTTGTACTGGAAACTAACTCTGAGTAACTCTAAGTAAATTCTGTAAGGAAACCCATTTCTGTCTCTGAACTTCTCCCCCACACGAGATCATTGTTGCTTGTACTCTGGCATGCATGGGGACATCACTCGTTTCCTGGATTGTCTGGTTAGCAATTCCCTCAGCTACAAATGACCCATGTCCCTTCACCTTCTGATTCTGCCATTAAGCAATCAGGAGCTGTGGCAATAGGCCATCCCTAAGGCCAGCTTGGTACCTACAAAGGTAATGATAATGTCATTACTCCGTACAGGTCATGTAATGTCAATACTCGGTACAGGTAATGATAATGTCAATACTCCGTACAGGTAATGATAATGTCAATACTCGATCTGTACAGGTAATGTAATGTCAATACTCCGTACAGGTAATGTAATGTCAATACTCCGTACAGGTAATGATAATGTCAATACTCCGTACAGGTAATGTAATGTCAATACTCCGTACAGGTAGTGATAATGTCAATACTCCGTACAGGTAATGTAATGTCAATACTCTGTACAGGTAATGATAATGTCATTACTCCTTACAGGTAATGATAATGTCAATACTCCGTACGGGGTTAGAGAAGTATTTCTTTATTCCAAACTGTTAGGTCACTGATAGAAGGAGGCATTAGCATTTCCTTCACAATTGGTTAATCTCTTTGATCAATGGGTGAGGAAGTTGCGGGCACGTCAGACATTTGGGTTACTGGACATTTATTGCCCTTCCAGAGAAGTTTTGCTAGGGTGAGTCGGAGCTAATGGAGGAACATGTGCATGGGAAGGAATCCATTGGAACTTGGTGCTAAGGGGAAAATATTTTGCAGCATTGATTGAGAAAGGAGTGATCGACCGTCTTGATCTGAGTGGAAACCTTTTCAAATACATGTTAGGAAAAGGGGAGATCGTACTGAAAATAAAGGTGGGACAGGTTCAAATCTTTGTGTTCCTTGGTGGGGACCTTTACCATCTTAAAGATTGTGTCAACCAATTTGTGCAAAGATGAGGGTCGCATTGGTGGCAGTATCTTTTGCCGTGGTTAACCGGGGGAGTGGGTGTCTGCTCATTTCAGCTTTTCTGTTTGTGATGGGTGCATGATATGACAATTACAGTGCTAGATAATGAGAATGGAGATGGTGAAAGGGGCATTATTGCGGTTACATAAGCTTTGCCACTAGTTAACATTAGTTCAATGAAGGTAGCTGAGCAGAAACTTCTCACATGCATCCATGTTGTGCAGCTCACCAAAGGAGCTAGATTTCCACTTGTGATGGCCCACAGCTGGAGCATCAATTACTGAATGCATGTAAAGTGACAACGTGACCTTTACCATCTCCACAGAAATAGGGCAACTGATACCTGTCATGGTGGCCAACAGCTGCTGAACAAGAGAATCTTTGACACTGGAAGGCAAAAGTTCTAAATTTGTCTTAGCTGATGCTGACCTGATTGAGGTGGTTAAAATGTCCACCCTTCCCTGTTCTTTTACTATGGTCAGTGCTGCTGTGTTGGTTCCAAGACATTGTACAGGAAAGTTTGTATGATAGATTTATGTAGTGCTGGGTTTAAAACAAAGAATCACACTGTTGGAAACCTCTTTGATTTTTCCCATGAACAAGATCCTTAGAGGGACCAAGAACAGTTGGAGAAGATGCTGGTACTAATATACAGTGGTAAGCAATTATGGAAGCCAAGCTTGCAGCCCCAGAGAACCTAAAATGTTGGGAAAAGGGTTGGTTCATAGAGCCCACTGTCTTTATTGGTGTTCACAGAACAGTGTTGGGGACAAGGGTTGTTTCATAGAGCCCACTGTATTTATGGGCGTTCAGATAACAGTGTTGAGGACAAGGGTTTCTTAATAGAGCCCACTGTCTTTATGAGTTTTTAGAGAACAGTGTTGGGGAAAATTGTTGTTTCATAGAGCCCACTGTCTTTAAAGGTGTTCACAGAACAGTTTTGGGGAAAATTGTTGCTTCATAGAGCCTACTTCCTTTATGGGCGGTCAGAGAACAGTGTTGGGGACAAGGGTTGCTTCATAGAGTCCACTGTCTTTATGGGTGTTCAGATAACAGTGTTGGGGAGAATTATTGCTTCATAGAGCCCACTGTATTTATGGGCGTTCAGAGAACAGTGTTGGGGACAAGGGTTGCTTCATAGAGCCAACTGTCTTTATGGGCGTTCAGAGAACAGTGTTGGGGAGAATTATTGCTTCATAGAGTCCACTGTCTTTATTGGTGCTCAGAGAACAGTGTTGGAGACAAGGGTTGCTTCATAGAGCCCACTGTCGTTATGGGTGTTCACAGAACCGTGTTGGGGACAAGGGTTTCATAATAGAGCCCACTGTCTTTATGAGTTTTTAGAGAACAGTGTTGGGGAAAATTGTTGCTTCATAGAGCCCACTGTCTTTATGGGTGTTCAGAGAACAGTTTTGGGGAAAACTGTTGCTTCATAGAGCCAACTGTCTTTATGGACGTTCAGAGAACAGTGTTGGGGACAAGGGTTGCTTCATAGAGCCAACTGTCTTTATGGACGTTCAGAGAACAGTGTTGGGAACAAGGGTTTCTTCATAGAGCCCACTGTCTTTACAGATTTTCAGGACAATATGAAATTTTCCAAGCAGGTGATATTTTGTCCCATGTTGAAGCTAGACCATGAAGTTCAACACAATAAAGAGTTGATTGGAGGTCACATATGACACATATTATTTAGCTTACCATACACACATCCTTGATAGTTCTCTACTCTTGAACTGGCAAACCTTCTTTAGGAAGGCTCTTTCAATTGTTTTGATATTTTGGTGCTTCCCAACTGTTCAGCTGGTTGGCAGAACAGCCCTTGAGGCAGCGTTGTGATGAAGTTTATCACATCAACCTTGATATGTTGATGGCTCAGATTGATTGGCTGGTTTATAAGGGAGCAAGTAGCTGTCTGCCGTATGGGGCATCCGCTTTGTGGGTTCTCTTATGGTGGAATTGGGGGTTGGGCTGAAGGCCGTTGCCCGAACACAGATGATTGGGACTGCGGTTGGTTGTTTTGGGTCAAAAAGTGGCATGACCTTAAATAACCATGCATAGCTATGAGAAGGACGTAAAACATAAACAAACCAAATCATTTTAAAGCTGATTTTAAAGGGAAAATATGAAAAAATATGCTTGGATGAAAATTAGATGGGACACATAAACCCAGTCTTCAATTTGAATTCAAGCATTTCTTATATAACATCCAAAATCTGACCTGTTTTAAGGTACGTCGGCCCACACTTTATTTTCTAGCTGTTAGTCTCTTTCATTAATTTACTGTAGTTTTTTGTATATAACAAACCTTTTCACTATCTATGTTACAGGACAAGAATGGAGAAGACCGGGTAGAAAACTCTATTCCACCCAGAACACAGTATGGAGAGATGTATTGGCATATCTGTGGGTGTGATCACCCTGTTCTTGTGTGTAATTAATGTTGGAGCCACCTGGACGGGGGACACTTTCTGGAATTCTCGTTACAGTGTCCTCAATCATCCTTGTAAGTTTTTTCACTCTCTGTTTTTGTCCTGTGGATATAAAATTTGCTTTAACTTATATTATCTTTTTCCTCTTATTTATTCATTTTTTTTTTTTTGGCTTTTGATACTTCATTTAAGATTTTGGCAACCATTATCACTGGTGACATTTTTTATTGATACGCACATATCCAGAGTACACCGTTAATCTTGGTTTCATGAGTTTTATTTATACGCACATATCCAGAGTACACCGTTAATCTTGATTTCATTAGTTTTATTGATACGCACACATCCAGAGTACACTGTTAATCTTGGTTTCATGAGTTTTATTGATACGCACATATCCAGAGTACACCGTTAATCTTGATTTCATTAGTTTTATTGATACGCACATATCCAGAGTACACTGTTAATCTTGGTTTCATGAGTTTTATTGATACGCACATATACAGAGTACACTGTTAATCTTGGTTTCATGAGTTTTATTAATACGCACATATTCAGAGTACACCATTAATCTTGGTTTCATGAGTTTTATTGATACGCACATATACAGAGTACACTGTTAATCTTGGTTTCATGAGTTTTATTGATACGCACATATTCAGATTACACCGTTAATCTTGGTTTCATGAGTTTTATTGATACGCACATATCCAGAGTACACCGTTAATCTTGGTTTCATTAGTTTTATTGATACGCACATATTCAGAGTACACCGTTCATCTTGATTTCATTAGTTTTATTGATACGCACATATCCAGAGTACACCGTTAATCTTGGTTTCATGAGTTTTATTGATATAACACTTTTGAATCACAAGTGTCCTGCAGTACCACTGTAGGTTGTTGTTTTTGGTACATGTTGTAATTAATTATATAAGCTGCTACACCTTTTAAAAATTTTGATAATCTGGTTTTAATCACACACATATTAGACTAGTGGTAATACCTTTACCCTTCATGTCTAATAATGTAGACATCATAAAATTTACTTATCTAGCATGTAATTATAAGGTACGTAGCAGGTAGCATTGAACAGATAGAGTGTTAACAATTGATATTTAATGAAAAACAGTGTAAAACCGGGAGCTGGAGTAGAGTGTTTCCTACACCATAACTGGCATCTGCCATGTTGTTGTGTATTTATCGGATGATAATGCACATCATTTGTCACTTTCTAGCATTCTGGGGTTTGTGGTCCGATTCTACATCTGCAGCCGTGGACCACTACCATCTGGGAAGTGGTGAATATGGTGGGCGCACCTGCTCGGGCTGTAGCTGTAATGAAAATGATCGTGTTGTTACTGGATGCTCTGGGACTGTGTAAGTCGATGTTTTTAGGTCACCTGAATAATTTGGATGATCTTTCGTTATTTCCTTTCAGCTTTTTGACTTCTTAAAAACTCTCTCTCAGATTTTGATGACATTTGGTGGATTATCAGCAGCCTAAGATCAGAATGCATCACCACGCCAAAGGGGTTTGAGGAGTTGGGTTTTATTTTTTTTTAGTTTCTTAACTCTCCCCCACTTAAACATTTTTACATTTGCATTGCAATACCACTATATGAACCAAGAAGTAGTGTTTCATGTCATAAGACCATGAACTAAAAGTACATTGTAATATGACTGACCAATTAACCAAACAATACCGAAGTCACATTTGCCTCATACTTTGGTTTTTTGGATGAAAAGTTATCTATTCCACCATGAAACCATGCATGGTAGTGTCAAAATTTCCTGGGAGGGTTTCCATGTGGGGTAAAATTGAGAAAAAGCATGAAAATACATGATTTTTAAAGAAAATTTCTCAGGCTGGGGGGGGGTTTCCTCAGAAGCCGTAAAAAACCCTCTGGATCCACCACTGCCTGACTCAGGTCACATGACTAGCTTATAGGGAAAGATCTGCCTTTTCAGCATTCACAATAAAGTTGATAAGCAGTTTCATGTCAACATAACTATGGTTCTTCAATATCAGCAATAAGTTGACATCAACATGCTCTGTATATTTAGTATTTAAGTCACTTCATTAGAGAAAAATAAAACGTGAACCATTAATGTGGTTCATCTCATTTTCCTGTTATGGGGTGAGCATTCATATCACCTGTGAACTGCCTCTGGAAGGAGTTTAATGCTTGACAATGAGTGTGGGAGTCAATTCTTGTCATGCATCAATTTTTTCATTGACCAGTCCTTTCTTCTGTCGTAAAAAGCTTTATGTGTACAGGATAACCATTATGAACCCCTCAACATATTTGTTGATATTTGTACTATGGTATGATAACATGAAGTTCTACACCTTATTAGGTCATCAGTCAAAGTTAAAGGGTCAAAGGTCACACTTGATCACTTTTGGGATGTGTGGAAATATCTGAGTGAACTCTCACTTTTGGGATGTGTGGAAATATCTGAGTGAACTCTCACTTGCTTCTTTTATCTAAATAATTGGTATCATATTTCACCTTTTTAGGTACTTGAAGAATTATGTTTTTGACAACCTAACAACAGAGTCCTTCGCCTCGTTAACCTCAGTGACCACAATGTAAGTATTGTAGACCTTTGTGCTTTCAAGTTAATTAGAACATGGATGAATCAATAATCCAACTAGTCCCAGTTGGTCATGAGGTCTTGACCTTTCATTAGCATTGTCAGACTTTAACTGGTAAGGATTGTCTGTGTCGTTTTTAATGCTATACATTAGGATGAGAGATAAAATGAAAAGCAGATGGCAACAGATAAAATCAAACCAAACTGACATGTAGTGTTGACCATTACATGGAATATTCATGTAATTACTTGGGCGAACAATTTTCTTTGAAGGCCACATCTACTAATGCTTTCAATTTCAAAATCTGAAACTACTTGTAGTTGTTATGCATATCTTTTCAGAAAAATTATCAATGTTCCATCCTTGGTGTTGATCGAGAAGGGCCTCCTAACTTCAATGACCAGTTTACAGGAACTGTAAGTGACACCTGTCTTATATGACACCCTCTGTGTTAGCGACTTTCTTATCTGGCACCCTCTGTGTGAGACACATGTCTTATCTGACACACTTTGTGTGAGAACAACTGTCTTATATTATCTGACACTTTTGTGTGAGACACCTGTCTTATCTGATGCTCTTTGTGTGAGACACCTGTCTTATCTGACAACCCTGTCTGTGAGACACCTGTCTCATATGACACACCGTATGTGGACACATTTCTTATCTGATACTTTGACGCATCTGTTAGAAAAGATTTAAAAGAAAACATTTGTACTTAAGCTCATATCAAATCATATTTAAGCTTTGATTCATGCTTAATTTTAAATCTTTATTTTTTCAAAGTATCATGTATAGTTGGAGTTTTAATATTTCTATGCTGATCATTTTTGTTTTTGTCTTTACAGGACTATTACACAGACTGGACTAACAGCTGTCCCAGACATATCCAACACGGCCATGACCAAAATGTGAGAAAGACATTATTACAATCTTCATTACTTTATCATCATTTAATAATAATTTATCAACAGTATTAGAAATATGCGTTTCAACGTTAGCCAAAATTTATATTTGTATACCACTAAACTGGTACTGAGAATTACAGACTGTGATGACAGTGTATTGTTTATGTTATACAGGATGCTTGGTGAAAATGCAATTAATTTGTTCAACCACAACTTCACCAAAATAAACTGGCCATCCACACTGACACAAGTGTAAGTATTAGATATGACATGTGGTAATTAAATTGTTATAGCAAAGTTTGGTATAACTGGATTAACTCCAATACAGATACATACGGTGTAGGTATAGAAGTTATTATAGTTAGATTAAATACTATAAATCCAATCATTAACATAAAACACCGTATCAATAACCATGGAGGCACGGTAGTCTATAGTTGTAGGACACACGGCTTGTGACCGAAGGGTTGCGAGTTTAAGTCACGGCATGGCACTGTGTTGTATCTTTGAGCAAGATACTTTACTCCGCTTGTTCCAGTCTACTCAACTGTAAATGAGTATGTGGTTGGATAGTGCTAGAAATGTAAGATGCTATCTGTGAGCACCGAAATGGCAGCACCGGCTGTATGCTCCCCAGGGAGTTTAGAAAGATATTGGCTGGTTGCAAAGGCCCTATAACCACAGATAATAATTTGTGAACCGCTTTGAGACGTCACCTACGAATTAGATTGTGATAAAGCGGTATATAAGAACCTCAAATTATTATTATTATTAACTAATTATCATTATTTTGATATTTACATGTTAGATTTTATTACAAGGAACAGCTATGGACCAAATTAGAATTTTGAAATATTTGAAGTTATTTGAAATATCCTTATAAGAAAGACAATATCTTTGCTTGCTTAAAACATGTCCATGCCTCCATATTTCAGATCTTTGATTGAGAACAACATCAATATGATACCAAATGGATATTTCAGTGGCAGTAATATTGAATACTTGTAAGTATTTGTGTTTGATTATGTTTAAAATGACAATTTCATTTTATGGTATTTCCATTTATTAAACATTATGTTCTTGTTAAATCTTAGAAATTATCATGAATGAATGAATTTTTAGGAATGAAATAAAAGCAAATTTGTGAATCAGAATGAATGAATGATCATATTTTGAAAGAATGAATTTATGGTAGCTCTGGTTTCTGCCAGACTCCATCTTCTGTTTTCAGAGTTATTCCCCTTGATCATTATGAAATTTGCATAAATATACATATTATGATTGATGCTTTTTTTGTGAATTTCAAATATGCAATAACCAAGTTAGTGTTTGTCCTCGCAACAAATTTTGGTTTTTTATTCTTGAGCTCTTCTGAAGAGGAACTATTATCACAGTAAAATGAAGCACATTAATCCTTAGAATGTATACAGAATGATTCTAGCTCACATGATTGATCATGTCAGCTATTGCTATCATCTTAATTTGTTGGTTCTCGTGAATTGTCTGTTGTCTGTTGACAACTGAACATTTATGATGTCTTCTCAAGAACCACCAGACTGACCCCATACTTCATACAAAAGTTCCTGTAGAGGTCTTAAGCTTGGCTTGTACGTTTTTGACTTTCTGTGTGAACAAAGTCCCAGCTAAATGCTCTCTTTTTTTCTGTTGATGCAAGTCTGTCTAGCTAGAACAGATGCAGTAACTGACTTAAAACTTGTCTCTTTAGTATTAAAGCACATGAAACTTGGATGACTGTGTAAAGGTCCCTGGGGCCTCTCGCTTGTTTTTCAGAGGTCTAAGTAGAAACCAGTTGCGGTATGTTCCTGGACCTGCCCTTAAAGATGTCAACACACTTCTGTTTTTGTGAGTAAAATAAAGAACAAACTGTTTTCTGAATATCTCAATATCTGAAAGAATTATTCTTAGCATAATTAACAGAAAGAAAATCAGATGAAGTCACATTTAGCTGTAGAAAAGTGGCATCTGAGGCAGGACTTAGCTGGACTTTATAGCATGTCGGTAATGATGCCTTTTGTTTATATATATTTCTGATTACCAGAGGAAAGTGTAGATGAGTGTATTGCTCAAAAGACCATGCCTAGCTATTTATCAGAACTTGGGTATTGTAGCAGGTGCTTGATGTTACCTAGGACACTTACCAAGGACCTTAATGGATGTGTTAAGTAATTTTGTGCTACAATGAGCAAACATTTTATTTTTTTAATTGTTTATATGTACAGGGGTGTAGATGAGAACTTGATCACGGGAGTTTCCAGGACCCACCTGTCCTATTTTGCATCATCTCAGCTGCTACACCTGTGAGTATAGTAATTTAAATCAGGCCCAGATTTCTCTAAAAGCTTGTAAGCCTATATATAATGTTTTCATATTTTTTCATCAATTTTGATTTTGTCATTAAATTAAGAATCTTTTAAGTTACCAGCTATTTTTTAAGGCTTTGTTGATTCTTTTGTTTATATGCATAACAAAAAAATCTGGAAAAAAATCGTCAGCTTGATTAAAATAAAGAGCAGTCGGATAGATACTTTGACAAGTTGTCACTCTGTTCTTCTCCTGATCATGTGCCATATCTAGATCTGTTATAACTCAGTATTTGTTTTTAACTTAATTCATTGTGACCGTTTTTATTTGACAGTAACCTGAGTAATAATGCAATCAGATACATCCAGCCCACAGCATTGGAACAACTGGGCAATCTGAAAGTTCTGTAAGTCAAAAATCCAAAACATAGGGATACCACAGGATACAGTTGTACTGAGTATACATTTAAACCTCGCTACATTATAATGTATTCCGTTACACTGTTATTGCAGACAAAAGTGTAGAATTACGATGATTTGCCTACACTTTGATCAGAAATGTATAACATACAGTGATACGTTTACATTTTTCAGTTATTCTAAGAATTATTTGGTATGAGTGTCTTGTATTTTTTTTTTATCAATATGGTGAAGTACTTCAAGAAATAAAACCACCAGAGCTTTTTGGTGATCATCAATTTTGATTTTTTTTGAAATGTATTGATGTCACAATCATCAAGCTTGAGTTTCATTATGACTGCAGACATTGCGTTTTTTATATATTTGGACAGCAAAGGCAAAAATGAAGAAAAGCATGAAATTGAAATGAAACATATTTTAAAAAAAACCTTACCTCCTTTTCAGAGAGCTCCATGACAATGAATTGACTACGATGACAAAAGGTGTATTTTCTAACATTCCTAATCTGCTACATTTGTAAGTATATTTATCTTTTTTCAAATGAAGTGTGACTATGATTTTTTTAAATTACTTAATTAAATAGAAAATAAAAGTACATGTTCTCTTTCTTGTTGATCAAAATGATCCGCTGTGATAGGTTTTAACCGTTTCACCACTGTAGACCATAATGGACTCATCCAGATCGATGCATGGTAGAGTCTATTAAAGTTACATAGGGTTGAAAGGGTTAATGAATTGACTACTGTATCTTTACCTGTGTACTTGAATTGTAATAAGGTTATTCACTGACAATTGTGGAATTAAGCTGATGTCTGCTAAAGGATCTCTGTTCACTGCTGGCGAAACACTGGAGAATTCCACTGTGATTTTCCGTATATATAGAGTAGCATCCCGTAGTAAGTCCCAAAGTTCTGTTTTCAATAGAACTGTAGCAGATTTTGGTTGGGTGCTTCCATCGACCAGGTAGCTCTTGATCAATTGGTTAAAGTGACAGTACAATTGTATAACAATCTGATGGCCAGTCCTGTTGTCTTCGTTCCATTCATACACTTCTCTTTATTATATTACTTTTATTTCATTATTTATTCCATAAAAGTCCCAAAAGGATTTGTTTTCCTTTCAGAGATGATTTATCAACGCTATAAGCATTTCACAAAAATAGTTTTCAGTACATGATCACATGGTCAGTTTTGGGATCTAGGATCCTTAACCCATTCACCACCGTAGACCATAATGGACTCATCCCCATAAATGCATGGTAGAGTCTACTAAAGTTATCTAGGTGTGAAAGGTTAACACTACTGATTTGATTTGAAAAAAGAATAGTTTTGGATTTTGTTTTATGTAGGACACATAATTATGTATTTCAGAGACTTGGTTAAGAATAAATTAACCATTCTGGAGGAGGATAGTGCGGCTAACCTGCCTGCTTTGATCACATTGAAACTACACAGTCAACAGCAAGGTGATGGCCTAACCAACATCTACTACAATGCTTTCAAAAACATCAATGGCAATCTCACAAACCTGTAAGTACACTATCTTTAAATGTCAATTACAATCTTACAAATGATTAAGTACAATACCTTCAAAAATATCAACGACAATCTCCCAAATCTGTAAGTATGGCACCTTCAAAACATCAATTACAATCTCACAAACCCGTAAATATGACCAATACAAAATTTACCAAAGACAAACAGCTGGTAAATGGGCTTTAAGTCTTAATTTGCCATCGATAATAATTAGTGTTATTTCAATTTTTAATAGCCATTAGAAATGATTTTAGTATTTCAAGGCCAGGAAATCAATAAAGAACAGCGATCAAATAGGAGACAAGGACCATTGCCTTTTTTCATGGCAATGAAAAAAAATAAAAATGGTGAGGATTTAATGGTCGTTAGTTTCATCCTCCTAAAAGATATCAATTTTGAAAAAGTAATACACTGTATGTGATATTTTCCTGTCCTGGGAATTGGGGTTTGGTGTGGTTGGGCAAGGAAGACTTCTTAGATGACATAAATATCCCCGTCCTATTTTTATCTATTTCAGGCACATGATCATGATATTTGAATATAAATTCTTTTGGAACCAGGTTGCATTTTACTAGGGGTTTAAAAAGTATCTTTGGGTCCCCCGGGGAACATTTTTATACATGTATTCTGCTGTACATTTAGGTGAGGGTATAAAAAGTGTTCGTGAGGTCAGGGAGTTATCCACAGTAAGGGAGGCTTGGGCCATGATGATGAAATGACTGTTCATAACTGTAAAATTTTCTGTCTTCCTCCTGAAAAATAATTAATGCCAATAGTTGATATTTATAATGTGAAATATTTTGCCCTGCAGTAAGAATTTGTGAGTTTTCGTATAATAGCCTTCATGGAAAACATTTATATTTCAAATGCAACATATGGAGCAGGGGACATAACTCTTCCCTATCCCTTTTGTAGGTGGGTGAGTGACAATGCCTTGACCAGCTATCCTCATGTTGTGTTGTCTGAGCAACAGTATGATAAACTCACAAAGGTGTAAGTATTACAACCCTAGCTATCACACAAGGATAACCAATTTAAACTGAAAGAATTACGATATACTTGTCAAACTAACCAATTTAAACTGAAAGAATTATGATATACTTGTCAAACTTTCATTTTTTTTTTAGATTTGAATGAATTTAAATACTGATTTCAAGCCAAGAACATGTTCACTGCATATATATAATTATACAAATTGCAAAAATGATACAATGACATGTTTTCTTAGGTACGTTGCGATACAGTGATATTTAATTTCTGTATTCAGATGTGATACAGTATTCCTGTGTATTGTAATGTACCCACTTACCAGTATGGTATATATTGTGACAGCCCAGGTAACAGTATTAATTTCTATAATATTTATGGTACGTTTATAAAAGGTTTATCGACAACAACCGGATCACCAACATGACCCTGTTCAGTGACGATGGGTTCTCTCCTTCTGCCCTGAGCCTTTTCGAAAAACGACAGAGAGCATTTACGCTTTGGAGCACTTCCCCAAACATTCGCTACATGTGAGTATAGTGTTATAATTAAACTGTAATATCATTGATAAGGAAATAACTATATGTACCACATGATCAGTTCTTAATTTTATTGAACATATCAGATATAGAGGTCTTCTTGTATGAACATTTATCTAAGTACGATATGTAGGCCCCACTCATTGTCGTCACTCTACTGGCTCTGGACCACTTTTTATGAACATTCACACGTGTGCTTGCCTTGGACATACCTTGAACAGTTTGGAATAAGATTATCATTGGTGAATGGTTGATGTCATTGTTACATCCTGTTCTGATCGCTCTAGCAGCTGTATTTCCTGAAAACCCCCATGGAATTCCACAAATGCATGTCCTTGCAGGTCCTTCAATTTTGTTTGCATTGTTTTTGTGATCCAGGTACCTCCACTCGAACCTGATCCCAGAGTTCCTGTCCACGGACTTCTGTGATCTGCCGCTCCTCTACTACCTTGATCTGGGTACAAACCTCCTCACCAACGACAAGTTCCCAGACGATTTGTTGACTTGCTTGTCTAATCTGAATTATTTGTGAGTAAGATGGTTCTGTAAGTTTAACACTCCGATATACACTTAACTCACATTATAATGTCACTATATATATATATATTTAATCCAGCAGAAATCCGGTTTTAAAAATCAAGATACATTTAAAGTGTTAATTTGTTCTGATCTGTGTATTCTGTGTCTTATATGGTGCCAGTTTGAATTAAACAAAGACCTTATTTAACTGCAATCATTTGCAAAACAGAAATATGGCTTTATGAAGGGGTTTTGCAGTAAAGCTTGTATATCGAAGGAAACTTTTGAAGTAATTGTGATGAGTGATGAGAAAAAAAGGAGTGAGTGACATCAAATAGTGGTTGCATTTGGTGTTTTTCGCTGCTCATAATTATTGAAGACAATGACATATACATTGTATCTGAAATTGTGTTGGTTGGTGGTACTGATTGATCAGGGATGATTTTGATATTATGCACACATTCAATTTAGATAGACTTTATAAAAAGGCTGTAGGAGCCAATTTGAAGGTCTACTTTATACAGATTTCTATGTTATACAGGTTTCTATGTTATTCAGATTTCTATGTTATACAGGTTTCTATTTTATACAGGTTTCTATGTTATACAGGTTTAGACAAAAAGTAAGTATGTAAAGGTATTAACCCTGAATCGTTCTTTCCTTAGGGACCTGAGCAGTAACCAGTTCCAGTATGTTCCCCAGACAGTCCGCTCAGCTAACATGACGTCCCTGCAAACCATCTTACTTAATGGGAATTACCTTACCTTCATTGAAACAGGAACTTTCTCACAACTTCCCGATCTCCAAATCTTGTAAGAATTTTGTATTTAAGTTGATATATATGCATTATCTCTTCCTCAGACATCCTAATTTCCGGAAGTTTTCTTAGTTTCACACACAATTCTGCAACTATATGAAAATCTCCCGGATTTGATGTCCACACTGATAGATTTTGTTATAAAACTGCTATGGTAAGATATTGTTAAGGCTAGGTAGTGATTTAAATAAAACAGCTGGTTTCTGTTGTACTTTGTAGATCACCTGAGTCTATCAATATAAGACCTGATAGGAATTACGTTAGAATGGAGCAATTGGAATGGGTGTAAAATTACTCAAACCCAGTGTAATACATTGTAGTTAAAAATCTGTCTGAGCATCAACAATTCAAGATAAGAAAACTTACAAGATCTACTGACTGTCTGAAAGCGATGCAGCCACAGAAAACAGCTAGATCGTGAGATTAGATGTTTCTTTTCTGAAGAGACTTGTTTTTCTCTCAATTCTGTGCATATAAGGGGAAAGTGGTCGAGTGGTAAAGGTGTCTGACTGCATGCCTAGTATGATAACTACTGTGTTGCAGGTTTGAGGCCTACATGGGGCAGTTGCTTGGTACTGGCTGGAGGTCTGTGGTTTATCTTGATCTTGGCAATCCGCAGCTTTCCTCCCCCACCAATACCTATCATGTCCTTAAATGACGATAGCTGTTAATAAGACCTAAAACACAAATAAACCACATCAAGTCCTGTGTGTATATGACCAAATCCTGTGCGTATAATGACAGAACTGCCGGGGTGTAGTTAATTTCTGTCTTACACCCCATTTCACATGTGTGACATCACAATGAGACAACCATGATAATGTATGCCACAAAATCTGGAACATTCTGGTACTCTGATGCTGAAACTGAAAGGCCTTGTGTTGGTTTCTGAGCTAATTCTTCTGAGCAATTCCACCCTCAGGGTTTCCAAATTGGTGCAAAACCCTTTTAAGGCAGGCCTTAGGTTTCATCTAATTAAGTGGAATTTCCTTATCCTACACTTCTGGGCATGGCAGGATCTTACATGTAATGTGATGTACTCCTAACATTTACACTTGTGATGTTGTTTTGTAGATCTCTAGGCAGCAACAATATAGTTGTGGTTGAGAATGATTCGTTTCCTGGCACCATTGTATCCATGTAAGTATCGTCAGGTTATTATATATCCATACATTCTCCATATTCGTAGTCTACATAATCAATAAAGAAGTATTTCTCTTTCTTCAGAGTTTTGAAAAGAGGATATTTCTTATCCCATATGTGATCGTAGAAATATTAAGTTAGAGGATTTTCAAAACAAAATTTGATGAAATTGAATGACTAATCTGCAATATATTTATCTTGCCATATTTTCATCCAACAAACTTTTCTCCCGCTTGAACTTAACCTTGTGTTATTTTGAAATTGCATAATTAAAGCATGGATAATAATTTTCAACCTTGTTGTGAATTTGCCTTTTCATTCATTGGTGAAAGATAAAAGATATTAATATATAAGTTTTACATTGTTTTAGCACCTCGTCAAGTATCTGTTTTCCTGTTTATTATTTTAGCACCTCGTCAAGCATCTGCAGAAAATATTAATATAAAGGTTTACATTGTTTTAGCACCTTGTCAAGCAACTGTTTTCGATTTACACATGAGAATCCATTTACAAATCTCACGGCACTGACCACACTTACCCTGTCCAACAACCAGATTGATGTCATCCCCGACACAGCTTTCTCTAACTGTACCGCCCTTAATGACCTGTAAGTATAGTCACACCCTGATTTGAATTATAGGTGATATATGAACTGGCATCAGGTGGTCTGAGTGGTCATCTGGCACAATTTTGTCTGTACTAATTAATGTATAAGTTAACCCCTGGATAATATATATAGTTCTAGTTTTAATACTACTATAGTTTGGGGGTCATGTTGGGGTATTAGTTATAGCTTCTGGAAAACAGTTGTAGTTTAACTTCAGTGATTTATGTAGCAGAACTCGACTAGGTCCAACGCCAACTTAACATACACAGTAGTTGGTATAGGGGATTATTTATCTCCAGGGTCAATAATGTGTGTATATATAGATCAAACTGAACAGCTTCAGTGGCCATCTGATTTTCCCCCAAAATGGAAATAATGGCCATGACATGAATATGTGATTACCATTTAACAGTCAAATAGCTAATTTATGGCTATGATATCTATTAATGGGCATGAAATACAATTATTTAATTCCCATTATTGTTATTGAAACAAAAATGAATGGTCAATACTTATACATATTTACCTGGAAAATGTAATGCCCATTAAGACATTTTTCCTGCCTTTTTAATGGAATATATTCAGGTTAAATATTTGAAAATAATGGATACTCAGTAATGGCCATTACAAATTTCAAACAAGAATTAATAGTTTCTTTTAAGAGGCTTATGGCTTTTAATGCATTTCTAATGTGTTTTAAATGGAATTTTAATTATCTGACAGTTTAGTACGTAGTTAATCATGTTACTCTTGTGTGAACAGACAAATGATTTCCAATAACATTGGCTGGCTGACAAAGGTTATGTTTTCGGATTGCCCTTTGAACTACCGTTTCTCAGCTTCTAGCAACGATATTGCCTACATAGAGGACGGAACATTCGCCCACATCAGCAGTATCACCGTTCTGTGAGTTGGTTTTTTGTTTCAGAATAATTTTCAAAATCTTTGAAAATTATGTTTATTCCTGAAGTAGTTCTTAAGTGTGCTAGCAAAATAGGTGTCAATTGTATTGGAATAAGCTGTATTTTGTTAAAAAAAAAGAATGGACAATCTAATTACAGTGAGCCTGTAGAGGCAGATAAATATGTGATATCAACTTTTTTGTCACATAACAAATATTTTACATGGAAGTATATTGAGTATATTTCAGCAGGAAATTAGAAAATTAATATGACTAATTTAAAATTATAAGAAGTTTTTTCAAATTTAAAAAATATATGTACTGTTTGTATTTTGATTCCATTTGACTAATCTTTAAGCAATAGATATCATTGTGTATATTTCTCAATCAGATGAACTTTTAGGTATCTAATTCTTGGAAGGTTTAAGGAAACCGGTGCTAACAGTCATTACATATGTAACTTATGTGAAATATATCTCCCATAGAACGTTTCAGTACATTACTATTAGGTAATGGTAAAAAACTATCTGAATAGTATTATTTTTCTGTGTTTCAATAAGAATAGTGATTAGTCAGATCAGCAAGTTCAAATTTTACAGTTTTGTAAATGGCAATGGAATTCTTTTGGATAAAAAATGTAAGTTACATGAAGGTAGGATATACCCTTAAATCAATTTATGCAGATTCACTTCAACAGACCTCCAACAATTAACCTGAAGGCTGAAACGGTGTCCAGTCCATGCCTGTCGTTGTATTATCATATAGAACTTACAGAGACATTAATTTTACATGGTTTTTTTTGTGATATTTTAGGTTACTCTCAGACAACAAGCTGACCAAATTTCCAAGGGGTGATGACTTTTCTAACCTGAATGTGAATACTTTAGCTCTAAGCAGTAACCGTTTCACTGAAGTGCCAGCTGGTGTGTTCGTCAATACTACTGTTGGTCAAAGTCTGTGAGTAAATGTTTTAGACATACTTATGAATTCAGAATTGACCATGACATGGACATGGAAGTAGATGAAAATTATATTTTTGGCCGGATTGCGATGCAAAACAGGGCTTATAGAATTGGCAATTCCCGTTCGGACGTCTGTCTGACTGTCTGCACTAAGGTTAAGAAGAATGGTTGAACTCAGTTTCCAAGTTATTCTAATTATCTCACATCAACTTAACTATCTAAGGAAGCTATCACATGCTTTGCTTCGGATGCTGGATCTGACCTACATTTTCCACTCGACTGACCAGATTAAGAAGATTGGTTTAGGTCACTTACCAAGTAAAAATATAACAACTTGTTGTACATTAACTAAACTTGCATGGCGTATGTATCTAAGGAAGCTTATCACATGTGATTCTCCAAATGCTGGTCTGACCTACATTTTCCACTTCAGTGACCAGGTTAAGAAGATAGGTCAACTAAACTTGCGTGGCTTATGTATCTTAAAGGCTGCTTATCACATGTGATGCTTGGGATGCTGGTTCTGACCTTATTAATGGTCCTGTTATTTAGTCTTGTTATTGGCATAATATTTGTCACAATTTCATGAATTTTGCAAACCCTGACCCTTGTATATTTCCTTGTGTATTTTTTCTTCCATCTATTTGTATTGTACAGTTGAAATTGACATTGTATTTGATTTTCTATCTACAGAACTCTGAGTGATTCTGAGATATCAGTCATTGAAACGGGAGCCTTCCAGTCTGTCTCTGTATCTCAAACCTTAAGTCTGACTGGGAATCCACTGAAAACCATCCAGGAAAAAGCTTTCCATACCGTGAGCTGTTCGTACCTGTAAGTAACAAAGTATTTCATCTGTTAAGGTAAAAGGTAACAAAAAAGGGAAACTTCACCATTCCATGTACCATTGTCACTCTTGTGAAGTATTTGTATATGTCCTTTTTTGATAGAAATATAGGGGGCTGCGGTGGCCAAGTGGTTAAGGCATTTGACATTCTGCTAACACTAGCCCTTCACCACTGGGTCGTGGGTTCGAGACCTACGTAGGGCAGTCAGCAGGTACTGGCCGTAGGTCGGTGGTTTTTCTCCAGGAACTCCGGCTTTCCACCACAACCAAAACCTTGCACATAAATGACCATAGCTGTTAATAGGACGTAAACACAAACAAACCAAATGATAGAAATATTCCATAAAAATGACATACCCCAATGCATTTTACATACTTGTTCTAAGCTTGAATTCTTGAAAATAGAAAAAAAAGCAAACAAAAAACGTTCTATATATCCATTCAGGAATTATAAATGCATAGTTTTAAAATAAGTGTCCAATTAATGGGCAAAAAACCTGCAGAAAACCTGACAGGGGGAGTAACTCACAATCCCAAAACGTCCCTCTGGTTGCTTCATCTTCTATATAAAAGGAAGAAAGAATGTTTCATATAATGCTATAATAGGATAATTAGGCATTATTGTTTATCAATACTGTTATGACATAAAAACTGATATTCTTCGGAACATTATAACTTACCATATTATTATACCCTATAGTGGTTGGACTCACCATTTTCTTAATTAGCGATCTGTTGCACTTAACTGATTTATTATATATTATAGTCAGTTTCATAGGCTTAAAATATGAATAATTAAAGCTGAGTGTTTTCATGTTGAAAATAAAATTTTGAAATCTTGAAATAATTGTATGTATTGCAAATATTTGGAAGCTTTGAATCTGTTTATATTCAAACAGCAGTGATATAGCAATAATGGGTTTTTAGTCTGTGAGTTGTGAATTATCTCCACATGAAGCAGTTTATGTAAAGAATCGTACTAGTTCAGAGCATTTTGACCTTTGAGATACAAACATGCAGTGCTGTATTATTCCTGAATCGTTATTAATCGTCTTTTTAATTATGGCATCAATTATTACATGTAGTTTTGTTTTATTTTTTAACTAATTTTGTGATTATTTCAATCATTGATGATATTAAGTATAAACCGTTTTACGTGTAACTTTGTGTATTGAACAGATCCATGAATGGCATGCAGATTACACACATTCCAACTGGAGCCTTCCAGTTTGTGAGTTCGAGGATTATCTCCCTCCAGGAAAACGCCATCGCCTATATTGACATTGCAGCATTTGATGGCATCAGTCTGTCTAACGATCTGTAAGGAGTGTTTCTATTGGTTACTCATCAAGTGACCTATTGTGCTTGCCTTTTACCTGTCGTCCATCGTGTAAAAAGAGTCATGTTTTCAATTTCTGCTGGCTACACATTAACCCTTTCCCCACTGTAGACCATAATGGACCCATCCATATCAATGCATGGTAGCTACTAAATTTACATAGGGGTGAAAGGGTTAATGGAACTTGGTGGTTAAATCATCAACCTGTGGTAAGAATCAGAATCTATACTCAAAAAGAGGCTGAGGCTTTAAAGGGTCATTTATAGTCTTTAATTTACATTTCTTCTTAAGTTTACAGGATGATTTCAGCCAACATTTCTTAAAATGATTTGTAGATGATGACTGGATAAAAATGTACACTAAAGAAAGAGTTGACACCCCAGGGGACTGGAGCAATGAGGGGGTCACAGAGTGCAAAACCATCAAATAACATCTCAATAAGTTCCTGATGGATTTAGACCAAAATTAAATTATAAAATGATCCTTAGATGATCTGAATCAATAATCTAAAAGGGAATGATCCTCTCCAAGATATATAGTTGAGGGATGTGGTCATTATGGGTCACAGATTGGAAAACCTTCAAATGATATCTCCTCTGAAATTAGTGATGAATGCAGGCCAAAATTTCATAAAATGACCCTTAAACGATGGGGGGGGGGGGGGGGGGGGGTTTTTGNTTTGCTGCTTTTATACTGATGATCTTTATAGCTACATATACATGTATTTACTTAAAATTGACATGAATATGCTAATTTGATAATATAACTGACCAAATACAGAAATATTTGTTTGCTATAAATTTGATGTTTTAAAAGCGTTTAAGAGTTTTCTTTTAAGATTGATTTACTTCTGTTTTGTTGAAGTTATAGGTTGTCATGAAGATTGTTGTACAAGTGCACATTAAAATCAAAACGTTCTTTTGGACTTTACACTTCATTGGTAAGACCAAAAACTATACCAGTACAGAAACAATGAGTCTATGATACTTTAAATGCCCTGGTATTATTCCATAGATGAGGAGACCAATACGATTACTTAAATGAAGTAACCTTGCAGTTTTGTATTCTTTCTTTTTCAGACTTCTATATGGCAACAAAATGACAACTCTTCGAGGAAATATTTTCGCTAATAACTCTGTAATTTCTCGAAATCTTGATCTCAGCCAGAACTCCCTGTCTTCCCTCCCGAACACGGCATTCGATGGGTTGTCATCTGTCAAAGCAATGTAAGTAAACTGAAGTCTAATAATCAAAATTTCGAAAGCATACTTTTTTGGAAATTGTATTTGTGATTGAAAATGTTGCAGCATCCTGTCATATGTTGTAGTCACACTGATTTGTTCATCATATACAGGTTCATATAGCATTTCTAGTAAAATGTTAACACATGATGACTTCACGATATGTACTCTGTCACGTTACTGTTACTGTAACATGCTTAACGGCCTATCAACACAGGAGAGGTCATGAAAGGGCCAACAAACGGTGGTCATCTTTTTGTTCATCTGAAATGAAACAATAGGTTGAAATTTCTTCTTCTTCTTTTTTTTGATAGCAAGAAAGATGAAGAATTAGTTTCAGGAGAACTACATAATATTGTATGTACATGATTATATGATTAAATCTGTAATGAATGTTTTTCACTTTCTATCTCAGTAAGTTGGGTGAAAATCAGATGACAGAATACCCAGCCACTGCCTTGAGCAATAAGAATGTGCAGACAGTGTAAGTAGTGTTCAAGATGTGATAACAAGTTCTCTGTTGTGTATGTACCAAACCCCTACCCTACCCTGTCTATCATTCCTTTTCTGTTTTACCCTACCCTGTTTATCTTTCCTTTTCTGTTTTACCCTACCCTGTCTATCTTTTCTTTTCTGTCCTACCCTACCCTATCTTTCTTTTCTTTTCTGTCCTACCCTCCCTTGTCTATCATTCCTTTTCTGTCCTACCCTCCCTTGTCTATCATTCCTTTTCTGTCCTACCCTATCCTGTCTATCTTTCCTTTTCTGTCCTACCCTACGCTGTCTGTCTTTCCTTTTCTGTCCTACCCTACCCTGTCTATCTTTTCTTTTCTGTCCTACCCTACCCTGTCTTTCTTTTCTTTTCTGTCCTACCCTCCCTTGTCTATCTTTCCTTTTCTGTCCTACCCTACCCTGTCTATCTTTCCTTTTCTGTCCTACCCTACCTTGTCTATCTTTTCATTTCTGTCCTACCCTACCCTGTCTTTCTTTCCTTTTCTGTCCTACTCTACCCTGTCTATCTTTCCTGTTCTGTCCTATCCTACCCTGTCTATCTTTCCTTTTCTGTCCTGCGTACCCTACCCTGTCTATATTTTCTTTTCTGTCCTACCCTACCCTGTCTATCTTTCCTTTTCTGTACTACCCTACCATGTCTATCTTTTCTTTTCTGTCCTCCCCTATCCTGTCTATCTTTCCTTTTCTGTTCTACCCTACCCTGTCTATCTTTCCTTTCTGTCCTACCCTCCCCTGTCTATCTTTCCTTTATTGTCCTACCCTCCCTTGTCTATCTTTCCTTTTCTTTCCTACCTTCCCCTGTCTATCTTTCCTTTTCTGTCCTCCCTTACCCTGTCTATCTTTTCTTTTCTGTCCTACCCTACCCTGTCTTTCTTTCCTTTTCTGTCCTACTCTACCCTGTCTATCTTTCCTGTTCTGTCCTATCCTACCCTGTCTATATTTCCTTTTCTGTCCTGCGTACCCTACCCTGTCTATATTTTCTTTTCTGTCCTACCCTACCCTGTCTATCTTTCCTTTCTGTCCTCTCCTCCCCTGTCTATCTTTCCTTTTCTGTCCTACCCTCCCCTGTCTATCTTTCATTTTCTGTCCTACCCTACCATGTCTATCTTTTCTTTTCTGTCCTAGCCTATCCTGTCTATCTTTCCTTTTCTGTTCTACCCTACCCTGTCTATCTTTCCTTTCTGTCCTCTCCTCCCCTGTCTATCTTTCCTTTTCTGTCCTACCCTACCCTGTCTTTCTTTCCTTTTCTGTCCTACCCTCCCCTGTCTTTCTTTTCTTTTCTGTCCTATCCTACCCTGTCTATCTTTCCTTTTCTGTCCTCCGTACCCTACCCTGTCTATATTTTCTTTTCTGTCCTACCCTACCCTGTCTATCTTTCCTTTCTGTCCTCTCCTCCCCTGTCTATCTTTCCTTTTCTGTCCTACCTTCCCCTGTCTATCTTTTCTTTTCTGTCCTACCCTACCCTGTCTTTCTTTTCATTTCTGTCCTATCCTCCCCTGTCTATCTTTCCTTTTCTGTCCTACCCTCCCCTGTCTATCTTTCATTTTCTGTCCTACCCTACCATGTCTATCTTTTCTTTTCTGTCCTACCCTACCCTGTCTATCTTTTCTTTTCTGTCCTACCCTCCCCTGTCTATCTTTCCTTTTCTGTCCTACCCTCCCTTGTCTATCTTTCCTTTTCTGTCCTACCTTCCCCTGTCTATCTTTCCTTTTCTGTCCTACCTTACCCTGTCTATCTTTTCTTTTCTGTCCTACCCTACCCTGTCTTTCTTTTCTTTTCTGTCCTACCCTACCCTGTCTATCTTTTCATTTCTGTCCTACCCTCCCCTGTCTATCTTTCCTTCTCTGTCCTACCCTCCCCTGTCTATCTTTCCTTTTCTGTCCTCCCCTCCCCTGTCTATCATTCCTTTATTGTCCTACCCTCCCTTGTCTATCTTTCCTTTTCTGTTCTACCCTACCCTGTCTATCTCTCCTTTTCTGTCCTACCCTACCCTGTCTATCTTTTCTTTTCTGTCATACCCTCCCCTGTCTATCTTTCCTTTTCTGTCCTACCCTCCCCTGTCTATCTTTCCTTTATTGTCCTACCCTCCCTTGTCTATCTTTCCTTTTCTGTTCTACCCTATCCTGTCTAGAGGAAGGATTCAACACACTTAAAACCTTGTCCCCTGAGCTACCTAAGGAATTCACATGTCGTATCTGTTTTCGATTTTAAAGTGTGTTCTAATTGTATTTGTTTTTACTACAACTGTCAATCACTTTCTGATATAAATATTTTTCTCTTACTTTGTGAGGATAGCCAATCACAAATTTCAAAAGAATTATAAGTGTTAGTGTAAAGGAACTACACTGTCATGAAAAAAGAAATGATTTATAGAAATATACCTTTGTCCCTACATAACATATTACAACGTTCAAATGCTTCCAAACATTTTTAACTTCATTCCTAGCTGGTCTCGTATAGCAGTATCATATTTTGATATTCTATCTTTTACCCAAAAGCACATATGCTATTTTATTGTAGGGATGTATCAGACAACATTATTGCGGAGTTATCTTTGGTAGCCTTCCTAAACCAAGGCACAATGAAGTCTCTGGACCTGAGTAACAATCTCATCACCAACATCATCCAGGGTGTGTTCGACCCTCTCGTAAACCTGGAGACTCTGTAAGTCTGAATCAATAATGTTTGATGGCGATGGCCTTGAGTCACATTAAGTATTCAGTAAATGTAACTTGACCCCACTGACCTAGAGTCAGGGTAAATAAATCAATAATATTTGACCCCAATGGCCTTGAGTCACATTAAGTATTCAGTATAGGTTAATAATTTGACCCCACTGACCTTGAGTCAGGGTAAATAAATCAATAATATTTGATGTTAATGGCCTTGAGTCACATTTAAGTATTCAGTAAATGTTATTTGACCCCAGTGACCTTGAGTCAGGGTAAATAAATCAATAATATTTTATGCTAATGACCTTGAGTCACATTAAGTATTCGCGAAGTGTAATTTGACCCCAATGATCTTGAGTCACATTAAGTTTTGCGAAGTGTAATTTGACCCCAATGATCTTGAGTCGCATTAAGTATTCGCGAAGTGTAATTTGACCCCAATGATCTTGAGTCACATTAAGTATTCAGTAAATCTATAATTTGACCCCATTGACCTTGCGTCAGGGTAAATAAATCAATAATATTTGATGCCAATGACCTTAAGTGACATTAAGTATTCAGTTAATGTATAATTTGACTCCAATGACCTTGAGTCAGGGTAAATAAATCAATAATATTTGTTGCCAATGACCTTAAGTCACTGTTGGTATTAGACAATGTTTGTTCCATGACCTTAGACCAAGGTACCACATGAAAATGAAATGTTATTGTATTATTTTAAGAAATTGTATTTTGTCTTAAATATAGAGAATGAATTGCTGAAAAATTTAATTTGATAAATTTGAGATGGATGTTGAAATCTGAAATTGTTCAAATTCAGGAAAATGAAAAATTAATTAAGACCCTTAATTGTTGAGCATGAGAATTGCAAAAACAATATTACCATGGAAACAAATAAAACAGTAAAGAGCAGTTCTGTAGATGTCTATCAACTTTTTCAGATCCCTGAAGAACAACAGTATTGGGTATGTCCAGCCAAACTCATTCTCCGCTCTGGGGTCGCTGAAGACGATGGACATGTCCGACAACAGCATGTATTTCTTTCCTAGTTTGCCCAACATGACAGAGCTAACCTCTATAGACCTCTCCAACAACCAGCTCGCGGCCTTTGAAATTGCCACTTTTGATGAGTTTGAGGGCAGTACAAAGTTTAAAACATTGTAAGTGATATAAGAAAACAAACCCTCTCATTTGTGTAAAAGATCTCTTCCTTGACACACTTCATAAGATTTATCTAATAATTAAACATTACATTACATAAATGCCCACAGTTAATTATTTTTCAATGCCTCTGCTATGGATCAATTTGGAGACCTCTTGTTCTCATTTGTGTTAGAGATCTCTCCCTTGAATTCTTAATAAGATTTATCTAATAATTAAACATTGCATTACATAATTGCCCAGAGTTAATTATTTTTCAATGCCACTGCTAGGGATCTAGAGACCTCTTGTTCCCTAATCCGATGCTCCGCCTGACGAAAACATTGAAATTGTTTTTCTGTTTGATGTTGTTCATACAAATACCAATTGTATCCTCTTGTTAAAAATATTAAAAAAACTTGTAAACAATTTCAAATTAAGCCATGTAAAATGTATTGTTTGTCCACCACCATAGGACACTGACAGGTAACAATGGTATCGGATGTGACTGTTATATCTATCAGACCCTGGAGAAGGTGCAGACCACCATTAACGGAGGCTCCTGTGGCTCCCCATCACAAACCGCTGGCATCGTATTTGACTACGCTGGAAAAACTAGTTCCAGCTACTTCTTAAACGCAGATGTCAACAATTTTCTGTGCTGTAAGTACAAATAAAATGTTCAGGCCCTGGAATCTCGAAACTTCTTAATTCTCTATTCTTAACTCTCCATTCTTAAGCCAAGTACATACTTAGCTGAGAATTTCTCAAATTGGTGTATCTCGAAGGCGTTCTTAAATATTTGAGAACGCACTTACCTAAGAATGTGTTTGTTGATACATAAGTGGCCCTTTTTGGAACTCTTTAATGAAAAAAAGTAATCTCAGTGTATGATATAGGCAATGTAACAGTTTGGTTTCCTTAAAAAGTAAGATGTCCCTTGTTTTGTTATCAACACCGACGTGACAATCATCAATATATGAGTTTCTGGCAGCAATGGCATCAACATCATCATTCTGTGACAGCACCTGTAGCAAATAGTTGATATTTTAGCTGGTATGGCATCCAGCAGTGAAGCAAGAAAAAAACCCACACATACCCTGGTATTTGGAAAATCTCCCTATTTTGAAAAAAAACACTCCTTATTTTTCATCTTTTTAAATCTGCAGGTTACTCTACATACACATAGGTACAAATTACACTAATGCATTTATGCCATTATTTTGACAAATATTGGTCACTTTTTAAAATACTGTAAAGACGTTTTAAAACATTGCCACACAGTTTACCAATGACAAATTTGAAAGGTTGACAAGTATGCAAACACAACAAAGGAATTTGGTGATTATTTTGAATAACTTCATGAGTGATCTTTACTATTATGACATCACAGTTAGAGGACAGTGACATCACAGTTAGAGGACAGTGACATCACAGTTAGAGGACAGTGACATCACAGTTAGAGGACAGTGACATCACAATCGAAATCCCATCAAATATTAATTGCTGACTGTGACAATCTCACAAGTGACACCACTTCAGACACATAGGAGTTACTGTACATGTAGAATCATTTATTTTTGTGGGGTTAAAATTTCGTAGTTTTCATATACTAGCCAGTGTTTCAAGGACATTATATTTTGCAGATTTCTGATTCACCCCTATCTATATCATACCAAATTTATGTTTTCGTGGGGATTTAATTTCGTGGATTTTTGTTATCCACAAAATAATCGAAATTTAATGTCCCACGAAAATTTCTGATTTTACAGTATTGCACATTAAGCTTGCCCTGAAGTTCTTGCATGGATCTTCAAAATCAAACTACACAGTGTTTTTTTTGTTTGCTCTTTCAAAAATATGGCCTCAGTTTGTGTTTGCCTATCAAATAGAAAATAGAAATTTTGCTATGTTTAGACTTGCATTTGCATGGTCTTAATTGTGATACCTCGGTTTAGAAGTGAAGGTGTATAGAAAAAGAGTCCATCTTTTTGTATAGGTATGGTGGAAATTTTACCCTTGGGTGCAGAATTTAGTGTCAGAACCTCAACACACCTCATTTTCATGTAGCTTTATCTGTTTTCACAAAAAGTCCTGGAGTTAAGTTGTCAATAACCCTAACTGTAATAACATAAAAATCTGACCAATATGTTTCGTTTTCTCCAGCCCCGCTGAATGTAGCGGCCACAGCCTTGACCTCTAGCGACGTCACGGTGACCTGGACACGCCCTAACAACACTGTGGCTTCCACCTCCACAGCAACCAATGCTGTAGCTGCTGCATGGTAATTTAGATTTTTCTGGTCAGGACACAACAGGTTTAATTTGATAAGCTATGTACATTTTAATGTTACGCCAAATGATATTCAAATCTAATCATGGCAATATGATAAGCTACAATGACAATAAAGAAATCCTACCACACAACGTAATTATAATTGTGATCTCCATATAGACAACCATGGAGATACCATAGTATCATGTGATTAGGTTTTCATCATCCTTTTACCTCATTTTAATGTGACTGGTATTACTTGTATGATACAAATAATGCTTAATATGTGTATATAATGTATTAAAAAAATATTGTGTGTTATAAAACAAAAACCAAGAGGAAAAAACCCCAGATCATCTGCTATTTCTAAACATTTTCTTCAGGTTGGTAAGTATGGATTATGAAGAGTTCTTTTTTACACAACCAATAAAATTTTCTATGTAACGTTTCGATGACTAGTACGATATGTACACTGTCACCTTTATCAGACAAATGACCAGTGATGTGTATGCGGTACATATATAACAAACTATTGTACATACGCTTACAGTGCAGCCGAAATCGACATAGATTTTGTGGACAACTTTTACACATTTTACACCTTTTTGTGCTTACACTTCATTGGTCATTTGTCTGATGAAGATGGCAGTGTACATATCATACTAGTCATAGAAACGTTACATAGAAAATCTTATTGATTGTGTAAAAAAGAACTTTTCATAATCCAGATCATCTGCTATTTAATAACATCAATAATGACTGTAATACTAGCTAGTTGAGTCAATTATGTGTAGGTATTGGGAGAAAGAGAAATTCTAATCAAGGGTGTAGAATTTGTGAAAGAGCCAAGGCTTTCTGAGAGTCTGGTGCCAAATTCTACACCAAAAAGTATGTTAAAATTTTGTATCTTTTTAATGTTTGGAAAGCATTTGTCAATGAAAAGGTATTGCAAAGAATTACCCTACTTTAATTTATACAGCCACTTTTTTCTGTGTGCAGGCAGTATCAGGTGACATGCACCGCCTCAGGGACAGGGACAAGCCACACCCAGTTGGTTACTGCTGTGTTCACACACACCTTTACTTCTGTGGATGGTATCCAAGGCAACACCGAGTATGTTTGTGTGGTGGCGCTAGTGGTCGGAAGTGGGGGTAATGCTTCAACCAGTGCATCCAGTCAGCCGGGGGTCGCTACAACACAGCTGAATGCAGGTAGGAAAGGAAAGATAGTAGATTTTCTTTGTATATGCACATATTTGGTATGAAGAATCTACAGTTAAAGGACTTTGACATTTTTCCCAATTTTGATAAAAAGAACAGAACAAAACCATTAGCAGAACACAATTTATTTTCCCAATTTTCATTATGCATGTGACATAACTAGAAGGACTTGAAATTTCTTTTATTCTTCAACAAAGGAAAAACAAAACCAAAAAATGAACAAATTAAAAAGATATGGTTTTAAGATACAATGTACTGCTTTGACATCAAATAAGAAAAACCCTGATTGTCAAAGACAATGAATTTGACCTTGAAGACAAATGAGATTAGACGTTGCAGCCTATCAATCTTGTACTTTGACTTAACGACAAATAGCAAGAGCTCACCTTGAATGATAACTAATGAAGCTCAAAGGGCCATGTGATCTCACAAGATGTTGTCCATTGTCCATCCTTCATCAGTCCATTGTCCGTCCATCCATCCATCACTTTAAGTGGCTTCTTTGACTTGTAGCATGCTGGGGTGAAAAGTTATGGAGTATTTCTTTCGGGTAAATGACCTTGACTGACCCACTTTCAATGTCACACGTCTCAGATTTTTTAAAACCTTTAAACAAGTTCTGCTAAAATACCAAGAGGCCTGAGGGACTTGGTTTTGGCTTGTAGCATGCTGGGATGATAGGCTTTGGCACTTGGTCAAACAAATGATTTATACATTTTAAAAAAGTAGATAAAAAATTTGATTTCACAAAGTAAAGTCTAAAAATAAGTGTACATTAAATTCAAAGTTTTTTAAGCTGAATGTTGGTTTGATTATAATGAGGTTTTGGTTGAGATTTGTTCACTTTTACGGAGAAAAAACAAGTTTACGATGAATGAATGAATATGACAATTGCTATCTTCGACCACTTGTACATTTCTCAAAGACTCACTTTTTGTAGGGATCACAAAGTGTTAAACATGCAGTATTATCTGCTGTACGTACCTTAAGGGTATACATATACACAAACACATTTCAACATCGTAAAATTAAAAACCTTATGGGCTTACAGAAATGTGTTATCTATGTTACTGATATTATCCTAACACATCTGTGCTGTTTCTTGTCAGATCTAACTTAAAGAGTGGGAATTAAACAGTTCTAAAAATGTTTTGTTTCAGTGGCAGGTGGTAACTCGTCAGCCTCTGCAAGTGACTGGATACTACCGATAGTGTACTACGATTTCAGGTAAGCCCTGAACAGTCTTTAGATATGTCTGCATAATTTACCTCCGTAGATTATTGTAAATTATCTATGTATTTTAAATCCATACATACATGTCAGTATTAAAGGACATCATTAATGCTTTATCAATACAAGACTTAAACCAGACTTCATGCACCCTGGTAGTTAACTATTATCCTTAAATATTAAAAAATATAAAATAAGATATGAACAAAAAACGTTATGTAAAAAAATATTTTCGAAGAAAAAAGATAGTGGAAATGACATGTAAGTAATTCAAAAATCCTCTCATTCTGTTTTTAGTGTATCCCATACCGACTTTACTGGATATGAAAGCACAATAGTGTCTCAGCCGACCTACGTACCAAGCCCTTATGGTGGTTGGTTGAGGCGATCAAGTACACCTAGTTCGGATACCTTCTCAGAATGGTTTGTCAAGACTGGAAGCAATCTAGCCTTCGATAACAACATCACACTGACTATCACTTCAACGTCCCCTCCTACCCACAGGTAAGTGTCACTGGGAACTACTACATGTACATTCCCTCCCACCCACAGGTAAGTATTACTGGGAACTACTACATGTACATCCCATCCCACCCACAGGTTAGTGTTACTGGGAACTACTGCATGTTCATCCCCTCCCACCCACAGGTTAGTATTACTTGGAACTACTACATGTACATCCCCTCCCGCCCACAGGTTAGTGTTACTGGGAACTCCTACATGTACATCCCCTCCCACCCACAGGTTACTACTACATGTACATTCCCTCCCACCCACAGGTTAGTATTACTTGGAACTACTACATGTACATCCCCTCCCACTCACAGGTAAGTGTCACTGGGAACTACTACATGTCCATCCCCTCCCACCCACAGGGTAGTGTCACTGGGAACTACTACATGTACCTTCCCTCCCACCCACAGGTTAGTATTACTTGGAACTACTACATGTACATCCCCTCCGACCCACAGGTTAGTGTTACTGGGAACTACTTCCCACCCACAGGTAAGTGTTACTGGAAACTACTACATGTTCATCCCCTCCTACCCACAGGTAAGTGTCACTGGGTACTACTACATGTACATTCCCTCCCACCCACAGGTTAGTATTACTGGATCCCCTCCCACCCACAGGTAAGTGTTACTGGAAACTACTACATGTTCATCCCCTCCTACCCACAGGTAAGTGTCACTGGGAACTACTGCATGTTTATCCCCTCCCACCCACAGGTAAGTGCCACTGGGAACTACTGCATGTTCATCCCCTCCCTCCCACAGGTAAGTGTTACTGGGAACTACTGCATGTACATCCCCTCCCACCCACAGGTTACTACTACATGTACATTCCCTCCCACCCACAGGTTAGTATTACTGGATCCCCTCCCACCCACAGGTAAGTGTCACTGGGAACTACTGCATGTTCATCCCGTCCCACCCACAGGTAAGTGTTACTGGGGACTACTGCATGTACATCCCCTCCCACCCACAGGTAAGTATTACTGGGAACTACTACATGTACATCCCTTCCCACCCACCGGTTAGTGTCACTGGGAACTACTAAATGTACATCCCCTCCCACCCACAGGTAAGTGTCACTGGGAACTACTGCATGTTCATCCCCTCCCACCCACAGGTAAGTGTTACTGGGAACTACTACATGTTCATCCCCTCCTACCCACAGGTAAGTGTCACTGGGAACTACTGCATGTTCATCCCCTCCCACCCACAGGTAAGTGTTACTGGGAACTACTGCATGTACATCCCCTCCCACCCACAGGTAAGTGTTACTGGGAACTACTACATGTTCATCCCCTCCTACCCACAGGTTAGTGTCACTGGGAACTACTACATGTACATCCCCTCCCACCCACAGGT